AAGAAAAACTGGGTGGGAAACGGGATTAAAACTGGGGAAATCCGGAAAAATTACCAGTAAGCGCCAAAGACGTATTGACCAGAAGCGCGTTAATCGACCCAAGATACCTTGCATCAGAACAAAGTTGACAATAGTCCTATTGCGTTACAACTGTTTAATTAAACACTGTTTTTCACAATATTGTAGCTAAAATGCTCGATCAGTATGACCCGCCAAGAAATCGAGTTACCGCATATTACTCATGGAGCCAACGACATAATCATGCCTGCATAGGCGTGTTTTGCCTTGCCCGAGAAAAAAATGAATTTAGTAATTTACTTCTTATAAAACCTGCAGAAACTGCCATCCGTAGAAGAAATGCTTTTAGTTGTACCAACGAGAGCTAACCCAGGCAATTAATTCGCAGCGATCTCAGCATATCGTATCACCGCAAGTTAACGAATACAAACTATATGTTAAACCGTAATTTATAAAGGCAACAGGATAAACACCCAAACATATCAGGGAAAGAAACTAGACCCTCTTGACTATGACAGCCGCAATCGTTGGGAGAAATTGAAGCCGCGATGATGGATGTGGTAAGACGGTCCCTCGGGTGTCAGTCAGGTTATTTGTAAACCTACCGGAGCTAGAAGCAACAAATAAGTGGCAGCCAAAACATTGGACAGGATATCGGAAAAATTGACTCATTTAACTCTGTCTTATATATTGTGTGAAAATATAAATTTCAACTCATAGCCATTCGCGTTCTTAGAGTGGGATTAAGACAGTGATTAAAGCAAGTGGAACACGGCCTGATGAAGAACGGAAAAGCACTTAGGAATACAGAATGAGGATGGGGCACATGTCTAATGAGATAATGTGAATCATGATTTCGATGACACTAATGCACTTATAACAAAATCGTCTGTGGGCGACGCGTAAACAGAGATGAATCGTAAGAGAAGTTCATTGCGGGAGTTCAGCTTATAAAAAGATAAGATGGGAAAGCAGCAAGCAGACAACCACGCATTCAAATAATATACAAAAAAGCTAGTTACTAACGGGGATCGACGATGCGCAGCAAAATGTACGGGTGCATAATGTGATGGATCTGTGGACCATGGTTAATTTAGGTCGCCGTAGTCGGTTGGCTGTCAGAGGGCAGTAGCGTCCAGAGTGTTTCACGGCAGTAAGCTGTGTTAAGCAGTCCAGCTAGGATGGATAAGAGAGCAGAAATATGAATAAACGAAGAGAAACAGACTAAGAGGCAAATCGAATGCTGAATCTGACTGCCTTAACTTGTTCAGTACACAGTGATTTAGTAGTGATCAGAGAAAAAGCAAGACAGTACTGACCAGACAGGAACATGACAGGGAACTGTTGTGAGGGGTCCAAAGAAATCAAACATCCAAGTACGCAAAGATGCAAGGATAGCAGCCGTCACGGGCAGGGGCGATAAAGAGGCAATAAACTAGTGTAAGCAGACTGAAGCCATTAGGAAAAGGAAGGGAAAGCCGCAAGCAGAAACGACTAGATTAGGAGTGTGAAGCATAAGACTTACGACGAGCAACACAAGTAAAGAATTTAAGGGAATTGTCTGGTAAATGCGCAGACCTTGTTTATTTATGTCTCAGTAGTCTGATAACGGTCATACAACACGACAGGCGCTAAGGATAAACTATACCAAGGCAATGAGCCCTTTACGTTCTCCAGTTAAGATGTCAGAAAGGAGGGGAAGACGCAAGCAGCCAAGGAGACTTTTGAGAAGAAAGACAATATAGTTAACTTGTGACAACCACCAAAAAGCTTATGGAAGTTTAAAAATTTGAATGAACGATGCACGCTGACCGTCAGTCGCTATGTAGTCTGGCTCGTGTTTCCGTAGCTTTATTTCACGGATGTTGGAATTCAGTAGCTTAGGTATGGAGAACATACTGAGAAATAGATATCGGCACAGCGAAAATGAGCAATGAACTCCCACGCCATTATTGGTAGTTAATAGCTAGTTTTAAACATATGCGTACCTCTTAAGGACAAATGTGTTTCGGACAGTTTTTCCTACCTTAAAAGAAAATGGCTTACTTCATATGGGTACCCGTGGATCCTGTATTGTCGGCATCGGAGTTACTAATAATTTCAGAAAGGAAACCAGTATTTGTCTGTGTATGATGTATTCGCTGTGGGTTCCAGCTAAAGCTGCATAATGCATCAGTGGTATAGCGTAGAAGCAGCTAATAAACTGTTGGTAAAATAACGCTATTAGTTCACAATTTTTTGCAGTACATAGTATATTGGAAAAGTAACCTAAAAGGTGTTAAACACATATCATAAAAATAATGAGTCCAACTTTCATTGCGACCCATCTATGTTTCGACAGGTCTAAATTAACGCGAGGCCTCTAGGTTGGCTCGTAATGAGTGGATTCAATGCTTAGTGCGTCTCGAAGTGCGCTACTTGATTTGAATTTACGTCTGACTGGGTTGCGCTGAGTATGCGTCTTGTTGCTAATCGGCGCTTCTTCCGCGCAGTGCGCGTATGTCATTTTAATAAATGCTTGCGATGGGTAAATAGCTTTGTTCCTCGCAACATTGGATATTTAACTATAGCCACTGGGGTTCTTAAGTAAATATGTATGAAGCACAGACTGGAAATGTGACTATTGCAGGATGTAAAAGTTGTGGTTTGCGAGAGCGTGTCTCTTAGGATTGGCTGAGAAAAGTGGACTGATATAGTTTGATCGTAGGTGAAGCAGAATTGGTCAGACATTTTGGTTCACATTTTGACTAAATACATTCGAAGATGGAATGTCTCATCCTTCTAAGAACTTGTTCTCAAACTCACGCATATCGGAATAGTTGCGTTTTACAACGCTATTAGTAGTGTCGTGAAATTAGTAGTGGTTACAACTGAAGAGCGCCAATTATAGCCTTCATCCAAACATAACTTTATAAGAAAGTCCAAGGGCGGGCAATAGTTGGTGCAAGGCAGAGCAGTTGAAAGGAAAATAGCAGCTGTCATACGCAAGCATTACACGACTGGAAGTGCACCGGAAAACAGGCTCTTTCAGTATTTTGTAACATTTGATTTTACGGTTGTTTTAACCTTCGAAACGTCCATTAGTTTTACTGACTGCACATCCGTTGACACAAACCGCTTTGGTGAGTACCTCGCTGCACGTTTCTCGCTCTGGCTGATTCGCTCCCTATTCATGTAGCCTGCATAATATACATTGGGTTCAGTCGCCTCCGACTTCTATACTGTTGTATTTGACACGTCTTACTTGTCATTGCTTACCGACTAGTATCCCATGCTCCGACCAACAATTGGTGACCCCCTGTCAAAAACACGCTGTCCGCCATTGTGCATTTTCAATCTGGTGAGCTCGTTCTACTGCTTTTCTGATTCATTACTCGCTATCGTTTTGTTTTCTCACTTGCCGCATGTACCTCTTTATTTCTCACGATGAATAGTGCAGATGATAAACCATCTACGTACGTGGTTAATGCCGTAGTGCCAGCCTCCCCACCTTTTTGGGAGCATTACCCGTTGTTATGGTTTGCACATTTAGAATCCAATTTTTAAAATTGCAAAATTTCATCTGATAATTCTAAAAATCATCAGCTTATGTCCTGGCTTCCGCAAATCGTATCCACCCAAGTAAGGGACATCATAGCTTGCCCGCCCCCGATGCGAAATATGACACTTTAATGCAGGCGATCATTCAGCGAATCACGCCCTCTGACAAGGTCAGACTGCAGCAACTGTTTAGGGATCTGCAGCTAGGGGACAGGATGCCTTCAGCCTTGTTGCGACAGATGCAACAGCTCCTAGGCACATCCAGCATGGATGAAAGTATTCTCCGCGAAATGTGGATGCAACGTCTCTCAGAAAGCACACAAGCCATCCTTGCGGTGGCAAGCACCCTGCCCCTCACAGAAGTTGCAGAACTTGCAGATGGTGTCAGGGAACGACCTTAGCCAGCGAACCAATCTGGGACTTTCACTCGACTTAGCCCCGGCACAGTCCCGGCGACATACGCGACTGGTGACCCGTCGGCAATCGACGCGTTATCATCGCAAATAGCGTCATTACAACGCCAAGTCGAGAAACTCACCCTAGATCGTAAGCAGCGCAGCCGCTCTAATTCATCAACTCGCCGCCCGAAGCCTAACAATTCAGGCTTTTGCTTTTACCACACGCGTTTCGGTAACAAAGCCCGCAAGTGCCAGCAACCATGCCGTTTCTCCGCCGCCAATCAGGGAAAATTCCAGGCCGGCCAGTAATGGCGACTAACGGTGTCGGAAAAACTCAAAGTTGTCTCATCTACATTAGGGATTATGACTACGATACCCAGTTCATAGTTGATACCCTGGCGGAAGTCAGCGTTATTTCCCCTATGCCAGGTGAGCCTACCGCTTCGTTGTCAACAAGCCTCAGTGTCGCCAATGGCACGCCAATAGCCACCTATGGTCAGCGGTCACTTGTCCTGGACCTAGGTCTTCGGCGCACGTTCCGCTGGGCATTCACCGTCGCTGCAGTCCCCTTTGCCATCATCGGCATTGAATTCTCAGGCACTTCGACCTCCTGGTCGATGCGAAACGCCAGATGATAGTCGACGCTGTAACAAATCTCCGTGTACGTGGTACCACCGCCGATGTCCCATCTATATCCCCGGTCTATGCATTTTCCCATCCCTCGCCAGACGGCGCTAATCTCTGTTCTCAGTCTTCGTTCAGCCCATGAACGCGGCTTTACTCGTGGCAGCTCAAGTCACGCACCACATACGGACGAATGGCCCACCAGTGCCATGCCGTCCACACCGACTATCGCCTGAGAAACTAAAGGTAGCTTGGGCGGAGTTTGTGCACATGATTGTACTTGGAATAATCCGCCCTTCCAACAGCCCTTGATCCTCGCCCCTGCAGATTGTCCCCAAGAAATCTGGTGACTGGCGCCCTTGCGGTGATTACCGCGTACTCAATCGCTTATCTGTCCCAGATAGGTATCCCATCCCACACATGCAGAACCTTACCGCATGCCACACAAATAAGATGATCTTCAGAAAGATCGATCTGGTTCGCGACTGTCACCAGGTACCTGTGGATGACAATGACATTCCTAAAACCGCCATCATCAGTCCTTTCTGTTTGTTTGAATGTTTATGTATGATATTTATATTATGCAACGCCGCACAAACCATCCAACGCTTCATCCACGATGTCACTCGTGGCATAGACTTCGCATATTCCTACCTCGATGTTATCTTAGTAGCCAGTTCATCGGAACAAGAGCACCTCGAGCATCTTCGAACTCTCTTCCAGCGCTTGACCCAACACGGTGTCACAGTCAACCCGACTAAGTGCGTACTCGGCAAATCAACGGAAGAATTCCTAGGCTACCTCGTTTCATTGGCTGATATTGAAGTCCTTCCTGATAAGATCTAGGCAATCAAGCACATCCCAGCTCCAACTTCGTTCAAACACCTCAGTCGATTTTGTGGTTTGGTCAACAACTACCGACGCTTCATTCCGCGCTGCGCTCAGCTCATGCAGCCGCTGACTGACCTACTCAGAGGAAATGAACGTAAGTACGCTTTCCCTGACACAGCACAGGCAGACTTCGAAAAGCTCAAGGATGCTACCACCAACATAGTACTCCTTGCTCATTTGGAAGCGACTGCACCTCTTTCTATTACGACTGATGCCTCAGACGTCGCGGTAGGAGCCGTCCTCCAACAACACGTTGGTGGGCAATGGCAACCCTTTGGGTTCTTCTCCAAACGCCTGCAGCCAGCGGAATCCCGCTACAGCACGTTTGGCGGGGAACTGCTCGCCATTTACCTAGCGACACGTCACTTC